CTTCTCAATCCCTCCACCTCCCACTTCCTTTTTTTATCTATTAAACACGGAGGTTAATCCTCAGCCCGCACCCCACCCCCACCCCCCTTGTCCTCGGCGCTGTGGCCCTGGATAAGCTGTCAGAGCTGGGCTGATGATACACAGCTCTGCTCCAACAGTCAAACAGCCTGAACACAGAGTGCGCACATGTGGGCATGCGTGTGTGTCTGCAGAACACATTGGCATGCAGTATTTTGTGTCCTGACTTGAAAATATGCTTGTTTGCCCTCATATCTCTGATGATGGCCAGCTGTGTTTGCGAATTTGAATTCAACTTTTTTTTTTCTTTTTGTAGCCAATTTCAATTAGCCTCCCTCCCCTTCTATTTTTCCAAAATCCAATCTTTTCAAGAGCAACAAAGTGCACTCAGCATCAGCAACAGCAGCTTCTGGCTGAGAGCCATTGACACAAAACACTGACCTATACCTTCAGGCCCACCACACTGGGACTAATGGTTATACTGGAGGCTGAGTGACAACTCACTAATGACAACCACACTATTCATAGATGTCACAAATGCCAAAAAGAAGTCAATATGTTTTCTCCACTAGCCCACTTTCACTCAACACTACAAATGCACCTGCTGGTTTGGAAAAAAAACTCACTATTGTTCAACTGGAAGAGGAGTCACAGGAAGCAGAAATATCAGCTGGGATGACCCATTTAGTAAAAAGGTTATAACCTTCATGTTTCTTCACAATATGGGAATTAATGCTCTATAATAGGTTTCAGACCCCTGCAAGGTAACTCAGACTTTGAGGGACCGAGCTATGAATAACAGCAGTTACTCGCCTTAAGGCCGTCACCTTATTTCGACCTTTTAAACACTCAATGGAAATGGAAAAAGGAAATGGAAAGTGTGGAGCAGAAGGGAATAAAACACTACGTCATGTGTTCACAAGCCAGCTGACTGTGGGAGGTTTTGTCTCATATAGTCAGACCGATAAAAAAAGAACCATTGGAGTTTAAGACTATATAAAATAAATAAAATAAAAGTTTAAAAAAAGAACCACCAGAAACAATAAAAAATATATTTTTAACTGTCTTTAGTGGAGGCTAATGTATTGGCTAACACGTGCTATTACAGTCAAATGCTGAAATTGACTAATTCTGTTCATGAACCTGGTGCTCCAGATTGTATGTGAAGGAGTGAGAGTTATGAAGACCATTTTTCTTGCCCTCCTTTTACAATAAATCAAGCATCAACACATGGATGAGCTAAATGATGTGCTTTACAGCCACATTTGTCTCCAAGGCACCTTGGAGGCAGTTTTTGTTTCCCACAGCAAAGAGAGACTGAAGGTATCCATCCATTCTCCAGGTTGCTAAGCCCATTTAAGAGTTGAGAAAGGGAGGAGGAGGAGGGATGTCCAGCCCTTCCTGTCGGTGGTAGCTTCCATTTGCCTCACCTGGGGATTTCTAGCTGTTATAAAGCCAGCTGGGAGATATAATCCTTCCCAAAAGCATTAGAGGGAAGCACACAGTGGGGTTATCCTCACTATCCTCTGCAGGTGCCTGCAGAGCCAAAGCTAGCTCAACATAACACTCAGCAGTTTGTTTACTTGATCCTAATTTCTTTCGTTGAAAAATATTATCTACATAAAGGCCCTGTCACACTGTAACGTTTTAGATAACTTATGCTAACTTGTGAAGATTTTAATGCATCTACGTTGAAGATGGGATTAAATAAATCAACTGGAAGCCTATTTTAGGCATGTACAGTTATGTGAACTAATTGATCAAATATATAACTTTGTCAGTAATTTCAACATAAAACACTTTTCATAAGTTGTCTAAAATGTTGCAGTGTGGCAGGGCCTTAAGGAAAATAAGCATAGCTACCCTGCAAATTTTCATCTTGTTTCTTACCTTCACCTGCCGGTGAGAATGTAGAACTACCTTCTCACTATAGGATACTGTATATCACTTGAAAAATGCAAACTAGCCAAGAATGCAACACATTTGGGTTTCATCAGTTCAATAGAAAGCCTAAGGAATCTAAAAAAGTCTCTCTCTGTGCTGCAAATATATTCTGTTTTGGTCATAGTTTTCCAACCTGTTCTGCTTTCTCTATTTTTATGACATTTTCTGAATTATTATGTCACAGTATTTGCAAGGAAACTTCTAAATGAGGTTTAGACTTACGAACTAAACAATTTCCCGGTATTCATACTGCTCTTGCTCTAGGTCAGACTCTGGCTCCAACATGTAAGGCTGGATGTGTAATATTTTAATTCATTTGCAAATAAATGTTTCTGTGCCGCTATATAGTCATATCTCTGCTATCAATCTTGAATGGACCGCTATGTAAGCTGGATGGGGAATGGATGTGAAGTGCCTCATCTGCATTTCAAGAGACAGCATCAAAATGAGTTGATCTGAGAAACACCTTAGAAAAGGGGTAATAGAGGGGCTTGTGGAGTTATATTGAAGATAAATTCAGACTAAAGCATTCCACTTAATATTGAATGATTTAAATGTGAAAAAGAAGGATACAAAAGCATGTCATATTTAAAAGATTCCTTAAAATAAATAGTGTAGAAGAAAAATGTCTAATTCAAACACTAAGGTTGCAGAGACAGAAGCAAAGTTGAATGAATAATATTTTGACAATGCAGAACACAATTTGAATTCTTTGAATACACCATGGTGCATAATAAAAATAGTAATTCACTGAGAATTTATATTTAATTTTGTAGATTCTGTAGCCTCACATCATTTTAACTTCCATTAATGCAGCTTCAGTCGACCTATCTGAATGACTGCAGAGCAGCTTTGTTAGTGTGGATAGAGTTGTTCTCGTCCATCTTAAATACCCACGGCTTCATACCTGGGATGTCCACATATCAAAAGGTGTCCTCAAGGAAAACACTGAGTCTGTGATTTCTGGGAAGGTTTTTGATCATCTGTTTCAAAGCTTTAGCCCTTATGTGTCAAACTTAAGGCAAGTGGGTCAAATGTAGCCCACCATGGCATTTCATGTGGCCCACAAGATGTATTAATGTCTTAAAATAAGCATATGGTGTTTTAAAGCCAGCATTGACAATGAGCTACATCTCCCACAATGCATGTCAAATATTTTATCCACAAAATGACAGCATCCCACCAGTAGGTGTAGGTCCACATGGTTCAAAAATAGCCGACAGCTGACGCATTTTTGCTGTGTAAAATCTCTTTTTCGCTGCATTTTCACTGGCTACTTTTGCCGCATTACAGTTGTACTGGTAAGTGGGACTTTCCCACCTACAAGTTGCAAATTCAAATTGGAATTCCCCTCCAGTGGGAATTCCCTGTCTAAAAAGTAGGATAGTTTAGATTTCAAGACTACTTACAACTTAATAGTACTAAAACTCTATTACTTTACCTCACAGTATTTCCATTTTTCACAATTAGTCAGTTTTACACATAGTATTTTTTCAAAATAACATGTTAAGACACTGTTCCCATGCATGAAATACCACATAGAGCTCACTTATTGTTGTTAGACATGCTCAGCTGAATCAATGAGATGAGGAATGTGATGTTTCACGTTTAGTTCAAGTTAAACATGAGAAGTCAAAGGTAATTACAACTGGCAGTTTGAGGGCAACCACAATGCTCATGTGACCCTTGGTGAAAATTTGTTTTACACACCCACCTTAGGTAAAGTACAATGTAGTTCAGAGGTATTTAAGGTTTTCATTTAGATACTAATCTAGACAAGTTGTGGCTGATACCAGAAACTTTGTTTGCCACTTGCCTAAACAGTGAGTTAATGTAAAAAAAAAATAAATTAAACAGTCACGCTCATCAGCAAGTTCTGTATAGAAGCAATGTTTTACACTGGAAAGGTCACACAAGGGATTGATGTCCACATAAATGAACAGCTCTTTATCTCCTTAAGAATGTCTGGCAATGCAAAACCAATGTGCTGCGGTCAATGTTTACTTTCCCTCTTTTAGTTTGTGTCATTTTGCTTCTGCCCTCTGTATCAGGTGGAGATTCTCTTCAGATCACAACAGTAAAAGCAATAGCTTAGTGACACCAATAGCGGAAAATGTGTTTAAAAAATATTAACAAAAAAAGTAGTTAGTAATAACCAGAAGAAGAAATCTTATTCAGAGATGTCAATAATGATGAAGAAAAAAGAAGTTGATTTGTAACAAAAAGTTGTATTTTGAGTGATTGTTGATAAAATGTGTGATATAAATAAGGATGTGATGTTAGATGTGAAACTGATTAAGTCAAATTAAAAAGGGTGTGGATGTTGAAAAAGGTGGTTGTAAGAGAACACTGATCTAAAAGCTGTCATGGAGTGAGATGACCATTAACACTACAAAAGAGATCAGAACAAGCATTATTCCTAACTGCTAAAAAGCCTGTCTTCAGTCATGTCAAACAAAGACTGCAAGCCACAAAAAACTATTTATAGAACTGCAGGTTATGTGCTGCAGGCAAAAAAAAAAAATCACACCCAGACACAATAAAACTTCTTGATGCCTCATCTCTCCCTCATCATATGGGAATAGCTTGCTAAAAAACCTGACCTTTATCAAGTTTGTTGCAAAAACAGAAAGTTGCAAAAATGTATAGAGTGACAGCATCAACGTATAATTAGACAAGCAAAAATGGAATGATCAAAAATAGCATCCAATATGAAACTGTGGAAATTCTGAAAATTGACAGCGATGTTATGGGTGCACCTATTTTCTTGCCAAACAAAATGCATTTCAGCACATAAGAACAACTCAGTCACTTTTAGCTGCACCCATCCATATCATTCTGCAAAAAATAAAATAAATAATAGATGACAAAAGGAAAAGCTGTTGTGTTCTACTTGAAGATCATTTTAACATGAAAACCTGCTAGATCTTTTTTAACCAAAACATGTCCGCTCCGTGGCCTTACCCCTGGAAATAGTTGCCTTGTTAGCCCAGCTTCAAGTCTCCCAGAGAGCATCAGGTTATGCACAGGTGACTTACCGGGTCTTTAGCTTGCTGCGCTAACACGGCGTAGGTGGATATCCTGCTGCACAAGCATTTGGTGTGGACAGTGTTTGACGCAAGCGTTTGGCAGCCTTCTGTGCCCCAGTTTTCTGCGCCAGCCTCCCTGGAGGTAGAAATGGGGGTGGGGGGGGGGGGGGGGGGGGGGGGGTGCAGGGTGGGACATGGGAAATAAACAGCATTTGTGACACAAATGAAACTGCCATGTGACTGCATATGTTGTTGAACTTCTGATAAGTGGACAAAGTTATTACTCGCCATTAGGTTCATCAAGTTGCATTTATAGATGCCATAACTCCAACAAAAGGGAGTTATAGAATTATAGGGAGTTATATATATATATAAGCTTTCTTAAATGAAAGCTTTGCTGGAAGAAGGAAGTGGGGCCATTTTTGTCTACACACAGACAGGAGACCCAAAGCACTGCTAAAACCTTTTTATTAGGGATGCAACAATACATGTACCCGTATTGAACAGTATCGAACAGTGCTTTAGGTTCAATAAGCACTTGTATTGAACAATACAGATTTTTAAAATTAATTTTATCAACTTGTCTTCTGAAGATGCTCTGTGTTGAAGGATCAGTGGATCTGTGTTCGACTACTCCACTTAGGCTGCATTTTTGAGCACAGATCCACTGAGAAACTTGCTGTTTCAGCAACATTTAATTTAAAAGCTGTACTTTTGAGGTTAAACAAATGTTCATAAGTAATTTAAATAAAATACAAGTTGAAAGGGGCATGGACATTTCTCTCTTTTGTATCAAAAACATATCGAACCGTGAGACTAAAGTATCGAACATAACCGAATTGTGAATTTTCTGTATCGTTGCATCCCTAATACGTATATACATATATATTTCCATTTTCCTGTGACTGATTCAAGACCTATGGATTTGTTCTTACATTGGCTTAATTGCAGATTACCAGTTACAGGATGTAACATGTCGCAATTTGTTTGCAAATGCGACCTGATTTATTAATAGTGTGACCAAAAAAAATGTACGGTTGCACTGGTGCGACCAATCCTTCGAGGGGGAGGGGGAGCGGTCGCCCGCTGAAACTAAAAGTTTCCATGTTCCATACAAAAATGAATCCAGCAGTATCAACCATAACAGTCGCCCGCCAACAGTCTCATCTCTCCTACTAACACAGCGCACTGCTCGCGCGCTCCGCTCCACACTTTCCATGCGCGCGCACACACACATTTGTTGTTCTATCCTCATGGGGACATTGCATTGGCTTCCCTTCCCTGTCAATTCTGCAGCCATCCATAACCTCCCAGGTAGACTACACACCTGACCCAAACCCTAACCTCACCTGGCTCTGTGTACCAAGAAAATGGTCAATAATTGTCCCCATCATGAAGCAAAAACCTGCACACACACACGCACAGCAGAACAACCATTTAATTTTTTTTTTTTTTTTTTACCCAGATCGGAGTCTGAAAAACATTTTTTTTCTTGTTAACTGTGGAGATGAAAAGAAGGTGTGGACGGTTGCTCGCTCTTAAGTCCATCTTGCTAAACAGTCGAATTCTGCTCTGTGAGCACAGCAGATCATTTCAGCAGGACGACGAAGCTCACGTTCATGTGTATGGCAGGCCGCTGTTACACTTAATCGGTTTCACCACAGTTACATTCCAAGTATCTGAAATTGGTTCTTCTGGGTCTCAGGAAACTAGACATGTTAGATATTTAAATGAAATAATATAAGATTCGACTAATGCTAATGAGAAATTGCAGACTTATGTGTTATTTAAAAAAAACTGCACACCTTTTTAATAATTTTCAGTAATATTTCTGATATTAATCAATATTCTCTGTTCGTCATTCTGTTTCATCCAAGGCCAAAGATCCATAGGGCCAAACTACAGGAGTTGTCCATCTGAGGGGCACGTGTCTAAAAAAAATTAACAATGAAATGTTTAAGATGTTTATAATTAAGTTTTGATTAGGAGAAGAACCCTAATCCGGACAGAGGTCAGAGTTTTTGTAAGAACAATGTTTATTTTAACAAAAATAAACAAAAAGCTGTTGAGGCAGCAAAAACTAAATAACAATGACAACAAGGGAGAAACACAATAGTTGGGTAAACCAAACAATGAGCCAGTGAGGGTGTGGAGTAAAAGACCAGTATACATACAAACAGAGGGAATGAGGAAATGATGAACACCTGGTGGCAGGATTGATTGGGGATGACTGAGCAGGTGAGGATGATTAACTGATAATTGACTAGAAATTAGGCTGAGGATAACTGGAGGGTGGAAACACAAAAAATAACAAAATACACATCTTCACAGTACCCTCCCCTTAACGAATCGTCACCAGATGATTAAAAAGAACTAGCACGGGTGGGAGGTGGGGGGTACTAATCATAAAGACAGGAAGGAGGGCATAAAACAAAATACAACAAAGGAAACACAAAACCCAATAAACGCAGAAAATAAAACCAAAAACCGACAGGAAAGAGAGTCCTGGGAAAAACAACTAAATAAGTCAAAAAGATGGCCCTAGGCACATCTGAAAAAGTTCAAAAAAGTACAGGTGGCTGCCCAGGGGCCCAACAATGATGAGGTGGGGGCTCAGGAGGGCGACCATGGACACGGCCACAGTGGAGGAGGAGCTCAGGAGGGCGACCGTGGACACGGCCACAGTGGAGACGGAGCTCAGGTGGACGACCTGGAGCTCTGCCGTGTCGGAGGTGGAGCTCAGGTGGACGACCTGGAGCTCTGCCYRGMCGYAGYTGGAGCTCTGGTGGACGACCTGGAGCTCTGCCACGGCYAAGATGGAGCTCTGGTGGACGACCTGGAGCTCTGCCGCGGCGAAGATGGAGCTCTGGTGGACCTCTGGTGGACGACCTGGAGCTCTGCCGCGGCTAAGATGGAGCTCTGGTGGGCAGCTCAAAGCCCGGCCATGGAGGCACTCAGGAGGGGCCAGCTCTGGAGGAGACTCTGCAGGGGCCGGCTCTGGAGGAGACTCTGCAGGGGCCGGCTCTGGAGGAGACTCTGCAGGGGCCGGCTCTGGAGGAGACTCTGCAGGCGGCGAGGAGTCCTCAGCTGCATCAAGGACCAAAGTGAATTCAGGAACAGAGACCAGCTTGAAGATATTTAGAGCCTCAGGCAGACCCGGGGATGCAACAATCTGACCCGGGGATTCTGTAGGCTCAGGCTGACCCCAGGACTTCACAGTCAGACCCGGGAGCTTTGTAGACTCGGTCATTAGCTCTGGCTCAGAGGACTCTGGTTCTGAGGATTCAGATGTTGGCTCCAGTTCCAAGGACTCAGGTGCTGTGGAAGGCATGGACAACACCTCCACCAGAGTAGCGATGACAAACACCGTCACCGCAGCCAGGGTGGCAGCCACCACCACCTCCCTCTCCTCCTCACAGGAGGTAAATGCGTCGACCCTCTGAAGAACACTGGGGGTTGTAGAGGCGTCGATCATCTAGGGGGCAAAGGTGGATGTAGAAGCTTCTAGTCCAGCCGGAGCAGAGATGAATGTGGATGCATTCAGCCTCCCTGGAGCGCAGGTGTTTGTGGCTGCATCAACCCTCTCCTGAGAGTGAGAGGCCGTAGATGCGTCTAGCCTCGCTGGCGCAGAGATGGAGGTGGAAACGACCGCCTCGTCAGAACGCAGGCAGCGCTGGGACCTCTCGGAGGAGGCACAGGGGTGAGAGGCGTCCGGGACTTCCTCGGACATGGTACAGGAGGAGGCGGTGTCGGGGACCCTCTCAGAGGTGACGCTGGAGGAGGTGTTTGGGACCGTCTCGGAGGGGACGCTGGTGGGAGAAAAAGAGACGGCACTGAAGGTGGGAACTTTATCGGCCCAGGAGAGCAGTAGCCAAGGTACTCAGGACAGTACGGCTCGAGCTCGGGATCAAAGTCTGGATCGTATTCTGGTTCAGGAAGTACTGCCGCTTTTCTCCGCCGCCGGTGGCTGCGCTGCGAAGAACCGGATGTAGGGGAGCAAGATGGAGGCGCGGACCTGAAGGCCAGGCGACTCCCCTGGAACTGCATCCGTTCTTGCTCCTCTTCCTCRACCAGAAGAGGTGATGGTAGGACCTCGATTTCAGGACTCCGGTGCTCACATCTCTGAGGGAGCTGGGCTGGTGCAGTCTGAAAACCACCCACTCGGATGGAGGTCTGGTGTTGGACCTGCTGAGTCCTGTGCACGCTCCCAGTCGGTCTCCTTCCCCATTCGTAAGATGGAAACAAAAAGCGGTTTTCCTCCATGAACTTGAAGAAACTCTTTCTCCCGGTGGGTCCTGTAGCTGACTGGCTTATTCTGTTAAGTTTTGACTAGGAGAAGAACCCAAATCCGGACGGAGGTCAGAGTTTTAGTAAGAAAAATGTTTATTTTAACAAAAATAAACATAAAGCTGTCGAGGCAGCAAAAACTAAATCACAATGACAACAAGGGAGCAACATAACAGTTGGGTAAACCAAACAATGAGCCAGTGAGGGTGTGGAGTAAAAAACCAGTATACATACAAACAGAGGGAATGAGGAAATGATGAACACCTGGTGGCAGGATTGATTGTGGATGACTGAGCAGGTGAGGATTATTAACTGATAATTGACTAGAAATTAGGCTGAGGATAACTGGAGGGTGGAAACACAGGGAAACACAAAAAATAACAAAATACACATCTTCACAATAATATGTTCAGCCCTTAAACATTTGCTCTTAGAATTTTATAGAATCACTTTAAATACTTTTCAGTAAGTTAAATGTCTACAATTCTGGTTCAAATAAAGAACTTCATGTTTACTAGATTGTTAACTAATTGTTTTCAAGTTAATGTTGCCTTAAAACCTCTTGAGCCCCACGCCCCCGCCGGCGGGGGCAAAATCTTATTTTTTGCTTTCTTTATTAACCAACGTTCTCATAGGTAAACATAGACATGTGTGGTATCTATAGAAACGTCAGAATCTTGGCTCAAAACTCTTAGAAGTCATTTCTACATCCACCAGACACAGATAAAACAACACGCAGTTGAATCTATATGTAAACAAACTGCACAAAATGGTGCCTCCGCAAAACCCGGTCTCAGCTGTTCACCCTGTGACTTCTTCACACACAAACAACGTCTGCTGAAAGCAGAG